TACGATCTGGTGCATTTATATTTTGGGTAAGAAAGAGCTATTCTATATCATTCTGAAAAGCTTTCAATTTTTTGTGGCATCACACAACCTATGAAATGGCAAACAATGTCAAAATGTAGTTATGATACATTCAGTTCCATCGCGATTTTCCGTCTGTTTTGCTTGTCATGTGATTTACTAACTTGCATATTCAAAATCTTTTTAGTATAACATACTCAAACCTCTCTACAAGCATGAAGGATAAAACCAAATTACATACATTTATATGCAAAGTAAACTGAAAACTAAGATCAGAATTTATCAACTGGATAAGTCCGTGTATTTGGCTCTTATGTTGCTACTCACTTAATTTTTCTCAAGTGGGTACACACGTTAGAAGAAGGAAGGAAGGAAATTACTTCAAACTGATCTTCTCTCAGCCAGATAGAATTTTAACAATTTTACTTTACGAAGACGATACGCATGTTTTGAAAATATTTTGTATAAATCAAAAACCAAATTCTGAAAATGGTTTGATTATCGACCTATTCTAAATAGGAAAAAAAATAATTACGTTATTAATACCAAGTTATGAAGCAAAAAATTCGAGTCCGTTGACTTAGTTTGCTATGGTATGCACATGAAGCACATAATCAATACAGTTATTGATTAACTGGTCCATCAATAAGGTGAATGAGTTAAAATGCTTGTGTGATTTATATAAGCATATCAAACGTGTCGACAAGCTTAAACTCTACATCACTGACGAGACTCTCAAAAAACTGGTTACTTAAGTGATCAGAGGTGAAAAAAGCACTGTATTATATAATCTGAACTTAGTTGATGAGAAAGGCGATTCTGATAGTACATTTCTGGCTATCCGGAGATAGTCAGACAACTGGCTAGACACCAATACCAACCTCCTAATAATTATTGTTGAGATTAACTGCTTGAGGAGGAGTTAGGGGAGTCAGTTGGTTATAAAGTCAGTAACAGAAAAGAGGAGGTATTGCTTACTTTCCAAGCCAATGAATGGGATTACAGAGCAAGATATCTACAGGACATCGTTTGAAAGTTTTCAGTAATTATACAGTTAAGATGGTTAGTTAGATCAACAACTGAAAGAGCATTGCAACTCTTACTTTGTGAACTGTCGATATGTACTTGGTGATGACATTTATCTAATGTCTTGCAATAACTTCTTAGTCTCTCTAACTGAATTCTCATGGCACTTCTATTAACAGGTCACCGCTCTAGAAACGTCCTGAATGAACTTGTGCATATGTTGATATCATCTGTGATGTGTCATCATGCAATATTGTGTCTGATCTTCTGGTAGGCCTCATGAAGTACAGTAAGAATGTTCTGCTTTTAACACACCATGCGAAATTGACACGAACTTTTTAAATGATGAAAATTTGTTAGATTTTAGTTTGAGATATGTTTCTTGTTTATCTGGTTTAGTTGTTTCTTACTATCTCTAGATTGCAGGACTTGAGGGAAAGCATGGCGAATTAGGCTTCTGCTGTGCTATGACAATAAAAGTATTTTGCTCTTGTCCCTTGTGCGACAAATACAATTACTATGTTCGACTGTGTGTATGTTCATATAGTTGGACAAGACAACATGTGATGTGGATAGCAGGAACGTACATTTATGCTTATTTTCATCTCTGATTACTGTTATTTCGTAATATCATTAGGACTGTAATACCCTTACTCTTAGGTGAGTGTCTGAAAGATGTGTGAGCACTTTAGCATTCCTGGAAAACATGACAAATACTATTATCTCAAGCTACATGCACTGGTAGTGACATTGAGGTGAATATTTGTGTGCATGTAATACACATATGTCTTACATTGTATATGGACCAGCTTGTGTGTATTGAATTATGTAAACGAATGCGATTTATACAAGAGCACAATCTGGTGGGATTTTGTTTGTTTGAATTTATGCACAAAGCTACACAATGGGCTTTCTGTGCTCTGCCCACCTCGGGTATCGAAATCCGGTTTCTAGCATTGTAACAAACTGTCAGAAGTCTGATATTAGAGAAACTAGTTTTTTCCTTCCAGAAGACACTGTGAGACTGAAGAGGACGCACGAATGTGCCAAAGCTAGTTTCTCTAATATCAGATTTCTGAGAGTTTCTTCCGTTTACTGTGGTTTTTCACTAATACACATTTAAATAATTTCGGATAATTTATTGAAAATTTCTTATAAAGTAACGTCTAAGTTATGTATTTTTGATTTAATTTTCTCAAATGATCACAAACAATTATGAATATTCTCCTTTATCTTACAATATTATAAACAATTATCAATAATGTGTATATATGAAATATAAAATAGTTTTATATATTGTCGAAACGGAATTTATTATATTGCTTTAAGAATTGACACTTAAACAATTCAATAGAAGTTTACCTCTATTTTATTTCAGTGGTTATGCGTTAACTTTAGTAAGATTTCATGTTTAATCTAATTTTTGATTAACATTTTAAATGTATTGACAAGAATATATTAAGTATTTGAAAGATTCTATGTGTCCAGTCGTTGTTTCTTTTTATCTATTAAAAATTTTCACTTATATTATTGTGTGGTTTGTAAGAGATTTTTTTTAAAATTAGTTATCAATTTTGTTGAATATATTAGGATAGTATGTTAAAGAAGCGTATTTTAATTTTTCTTCGTTGTCCGATGTTTTGATTCATTTTTTCTTTCTGTTTTTCCTTTTGATTTGGTCACATAATTTGTCGACGATATTCGTTGGATAACCTCGTTAACCGGTAATATTTTTAATTCTCCATAACATTGTTTTGAAAACTAAACTCCTATTTTTGAGATATGTGGAGATTGACAAGACAAATTCTGGCGATGGAAACGATGAACCAATTCAATAGTTATTACAAGAACTCAACCTAATTTTTATATTATTCTTGACACCATCAATCAGTTTCTACAAATTCGTATATTAAAACAACTCACTGACTTATTTCCGTTGTTTTGTGATATACGAATGTTCAGATGGCGCTACAAAGCACTGCATGGACCTTGACAATCAAGGGATATTAACACGATGAGCTAAAAGTGTTGTCAGCAGCTATCCCACTGGGTTTGACTCCAATTCATGCAATGGGATATCTAGTAAAGAATAAAATAATTTATCTGTTTCCATATTTATAAATTGCACTGAGATTTCTTCTGCATAACATTCTCAGTCACGGTTGTTTGTGAAGAACGAAGCTTCTCAAAACTGAAACCACTTAAAACTTGCCCCATGTTTACGATGATATAGAAGTGTTTTGTTCGTGTTTCTGTCACATAGATTCAGCATCAGATCGCTAACTCATTAAACTTGAAAGAGTACAGTTTGTTTGAGAAGTGAATTTTAAGTGATTATTGCATAATTATTTGTTTTCATTATTTAAGCATTGCATCAGTATTCTAAATATTTTACTTTTAATGGAAATGTCACAATTAAAGATAAAATATATTCAGTTTCTTTGCATATAATAATAAATACTTATGTTTTATGATGTAAAAATACTACACATTTGTTTTTATTCGGGAATAAGTTAGTTAGCTTTAGCCTACACAAACCAAATAGCAAAATCCTTTTTTTGCTTAGGGCAGCAAAAACCCAAAGGCTGACTTTGGAAATAATTAACAATGAAAAATATATGAAAGTGTTTTGCCACATACATCTCTAATTAACAAAAACTTGGCTAACAAATTCAATTAATCTGAAATAAATGCAACACATGCATTAGATAGTGATTAGAATTTAATGATATAATCGAAAGGTTTTTACGTGAATGGTATAATAAATGCTATAACTGTGATATAATGATTGAGAACTATGAACTGTGATGATTTTATTCTGAGCCCAAAATTTGCAACTTAACCAAGCCCAGATTAGTAATAAATCTGGAATGTGTATCATCCGGAAAATAGCCAAATCTACTAATAACTTAAAACGATAGCTGTGGATTAGGGCTTCCATTTTGTGAAGACGAAATTCCAGTAACTTCTTTCCACTTTCCTTCACTTGTTCAATATCTTCCACTTCCTGGCTAAAAGTAGATTGCTTTATTTTTGTTTTAAAGTGTAGAAAACGAATGTAAAGCACATAAGAACGCAATCTTGGGTCTCCCGTTACTTGCGACTGGAAAGTGAAAAGTGTTTAAAAAACTCGTTTGTTTGAAGCTAAGCACAAAGCTACACAATGGGCTATCTGTGCTCTGCCAACCACGGGTATCTACTTAAATTATATAAGTATTATATAAGGTGTTTCAAGTGTAATATATATCGTCAATGTGGGTGTGATCAATTGAAAGAAAGTTATCAAAGAAAACTCATTAGCTATTCCCAGATATAGCACCAATAAAAAAGTTCACAATAAAGCTATAGCAAATTCACACCCAAAACTAACTTCACATTACAATCCATTAAAATATCTTGAGCATATTTACCATCTTTTCAGTCTCATAAGCTCTGGCTTTAACACGTAAAAGAATTATCAAAGGCTAGCGACGTATTGTATGATATAGATGTGATCACATAAATTAAGTCTGAGTAAATATTAAATTTGTTTGCTTTGATAAATGAATAATAATTAAAATAAAATGCAATGCAAATTCGTTTAAATATTTTAGACAACAGTGAATTAACATTTCTAAGAATAATACAAAAGAGCAATTAACGACTTAAGAAAATCATCAATCATTTTAAGAAGCAAAATTAAAAATGCTTATATGACAGAACATTTTTAAATAAGACTATTTTTGAGATATTAAAGGTATCAGACTTCATAATGACGAGGTACGAACAATAACACACTTGATACATTGTTATGGAAACAACAAAATTGGAATTGAATTGAAAAAATATAATTGAAGCAAATTTCGGCTTGAAGTACAATGGTAATTTTTATTTTAACTTGTAGAGGGATATATGTGGATAAAGCAAAAATATGACATGAAGAATAACACATCCGCAATTCTGAATAATTGAATAAAATAGTAATTGTCAATAATATATATATATTACAAGTAAATACATTTTTTATGTAATTAGCTTATGTTATAAAAGTTAGTTAACTGAATATAATTCTCAAAATAGATCCAAGTACATACACTGATTTTAAAAACAGGTCCACTATTTTTCTGTAAAATTAACATCACACATACATACAGATCTACATATATATATAAGAACTGCATGCTCCTACACCATGGATTATAAGGTCTTAGCTGTAGATACAAATAATGTACTTTATATATGATGCAAGAGTAAATATCGATAATTGATTCTTGTTTAGTAAATGGACGTTGAAATTGACAGAAATTGAGCATATAAAAGTAATGGTTATATTCAGCACCAAAATATGACCTGAATAGTGATAATTTATTATATATTGAAATTCTCTATTTTAAATTAAGGTAGTGATAGAAAGCTTTATGAAATAAACGAAATATGAAATTAAAGTTGGCGGAGTATATGTCTCACATGAAAGAGATCTGTTTGAAATTAAAGTTTGACAAAGTTTTTATAGTAAAGGAAAAATAATGTGTTTCAATATAATATTCATAAACCCTAATATTAATCTGATTTCAAAATTAACACAGAAAGAAAGATTATTTCCTCAGTTACTCGCAGTTTAAGACAAGGTATTATTTGGAGGTGATAATGTCTGCCTAAACAATTATATGAGAAGTAGATTAAATTTTTCCATTTGATGGCCATGAAAGTAATACTGTTCAGTGGATTTACTGACACAAAATATGATTGTTTGTCAGTAACATAAGCTTGCATTATATAATCATGCTAATTTGTTAGTTTGGAAAATGGAATGGACATAATGAAACGCAATTTATTTCGAAAATAAAAGTTTTGCGATAAAAAAAAACTCAATTTTTTCTAAGATGTGTATTTTATAACAATATAATAATTTTATTTGCTATTACGGCAAACATTCATCAACTTAGTAGTTTGAGTTATATTCAGTCTGTATAATATTCTCATGGCCAACCATTTATTTATTTTTTAAGCTACTAGAAATGGTGAGTGAATTATTAAATGTTTTTTTTTTCTGGAAAGAGAATAATAAAGAACTTGAAGACAATTTTTCCCAGCCATTAGGTTTTTACTACTTAACAATGTGTTGTACTAGTTAAATCTTCTTAATAAACATTATATCTGGACTTTTACGTCCTTATAAGAGTAAACATTCAAATAAACGCTTTCGTTTAATGGGTTTTACGTCCTTATAAAAGTAAACATTCAAATAAACGCTTTCGTTTAATGGGTTTTACATCCTTATAAAAGTAAACATTCAAATAAACGCTTTCGTTTAATGGGTTTTACATCCCTATAAAGGTAATCATTCAACCAAAAGCTTTCGTTTAGTGGGTTTAACGTCCTTATAAAGGTAAACATTAAAAATGCTTTTGTTTAGTTCACACATTTGTATGGAATGTTCACTTTTAATTACTTTGTTGTTGGTCATGCTTTCTTAGCGCACTATGCCCACCCCAGAGGATTGAACTCAGGATTTCAGCCTGTAAGTCCGTAAAATTACCGCTGACCCACGGGGGACTTTTTGATTAATTCGTACAATAGAAAATAGCTAGTAACCTTTTTCTTTGGTTCTGTGGTTATTTTTCAATTTTATTTGTGGATAAAATGTTATAAGATGTAAACGAGGCATTAATGTTTTCAATCTATTTTTCAGATTATTTTTAGGTAGTTTATTGATTTTGTTTTAAAGGACCGGATTTGAAGTTGTAACAATATCAAGTACTTTCCAATATATTTATGACAATAATCACATTTCCATCTGACTTATTAGCTCTCCATTTCATCATTATATTCTTTTCTTAGTGTTAGCGTATCAACAAGTAAAACAAATATCTTATAGACATTTACATGAAAGTGTTTTGACAGTAACTTGATGGTGAATCTTTAGTTAATAACTTGCTTTGATTACATTTAATATTGTTTTTATGTTTCTAAAAGTTGAAATAACAACAATCAAACGTTAAAAATGTAGTTCCTTAAATAATGTATCAATCCTATCATGTTCATGTTAACAGATACAACCAAAGTTTTTAAATTGATATTACAAGTAATGATACATATGTATATGAATAAGGCTGAGTAATATGTGAAAAGTCTAAATTGTTGGTGATCATTCTGACTTGAGTGTGTAAATGCTAGTAAGGTGCATTAGCCGATTAGTTTTCAAGATTAAGTATCTAGTCTAAAACAAATATTTGTGAGCATTTAGAACAATTATCCGTTGACTTCATGTTATAAAGCAACTTTTCCGTGTTAAAATGCTCATAGAATAAATATAACTTTCAAGATAACTGCCGGTAGCTTATCTTTTCTTGTTTGATTGTTCTGTCTGGTAGTTTAAGAGATATTTCAAAATATACCAATAAAACTATTTATATATTATCAGTAACTTTTAGTAATATTTGATTAGCAAAAGCATTTATAGTTCTTTGAAGGTCAGCTTAATGAATATTAACATACAACGCTAGAAAGTCTTATGCCTCCTTTACCCTGACCTTATATTCATCACATAGCCTCGACACTTATTGACCAAAAGAAAATAAAAGCACAAAAAAATATTATCTTTCAAGGTACATAAAGTATTTTGTTTCCTTCCATATTACTCTGACGTTAAATGTAATCCAACTTTACTCAGACACAGAAGAATGCAACCTATTACTTAATCAGTCCACAACAAAAGAGAGAATAATTATTTATAAACACAAATGCAGTGCTGCTATACACAGCAACGAGGTTTTGGCTTTGAAGCTTATATCTCTAGTACCGGTTCATTATACGATAAAATTATTCATACGTATATATTTTCCATTCACTTGTTTTCAGTTTAAACCAATTAATAATCTAAACAGTTAATGTTCAGTAGGTTAGAAGCTACAAGTAAGACGAAAGTTAACTGAAGTAAAAGTAATGGAGTTAATTAAAGGGCATTTTAAAGCAATTTTACCTTCTTATAGTGTAAATCGTTTTTAAATGTAAGAAAATAATATTTGTTTTTCCGTAATCCACAGACGATAGAAATTAAAATCAAAATACAATCAACATTGTAGTTTGACATACTCGTGCTGCTTATGGAAGCAAAAATTTATAAATAATTCATCATATACAATATAATGACCATTATATTTATACTTTAGCAAGTTCAGTCCTGCAGTTTCTATTTGCTTTCTTGCCAAAGTGATTATGTTCTCAGTGACTTAACTTGGTTCAATAATTATCGATTACATCTGTATTGATATTCAAAGTGAATGTTGAACATGCTGAAAGAGTGGTGATGACAAAGGCAGTAATGGATAAGAGAGAAAGCCATCACTGTATATATGACAGGTAAGAAATATTTAAAGGAAACACAGCTACGGCATTCGTCGATAAGGATATTTATCCAGTAATTACAGTTGAACATGTTCACGTTGGAGTAGGTAGAGCCAACTAAATAACAGCTGGAAAAGTGGGATTGATCTCGAGCCTAAAACAAGGAAAGAAAGAAAGTATTTAATCAATGATGTAACTATGCTTATCTACGAAGTAAATAGATGTTTACATTTTGAGAAAATAGGTTGACTATCTCTATATATAAACTTGAATATTTCTAACAAATCGTGCAAAATCTAGATCATCATGTATTTTATTCTTTAAGAACAATAAGATCGTTTGGTGATATGCGGCGTTTCCACAAATGAAAGAACAAACAAACTATATGTACAATTAGCATATGGATTTTTTCTTTTAATTTCTAAACCTTTTATGCAATGTAATCTTTTAACCTAACGATTAACATTTTATGCAGGTCGAATGGTATAATTTGTCAAATATGCTTCTGTGTCCTCTTGCCCCCTAGTGGCACAGTGGTATGTCTGCTGACTTACAACGCTAGAATTCGGGTTTCGATACCCGTGGTAGGCAGAGCACAGATAGCCCATTGTGTTGCTTTGTGCTTAACTTCAAACAAACAAACAAATATTTGCCCTCTAACTTCAATAATGTAATTTCTGAATCACAAGTAATACAGTCTTGGCGAAAATGTTTGCATACTGTTCTATAGTGAAGTTATTGTCTGCTTGCATGGAATAGTTATTGAGCAAATGTCTGAGTAGTAATAGAGAAGGTAGCGTATGATCGGACAAACATGTACGAGTTGTTATTCTAGTCCGTTTAAGTTGTTTTGAGCATTTGTTCATCAAAATACACATACACACCTGTTTTGTTTGAAAGGGTGTGCTTTTGGTATGAACTTTTTCCGAAACAAGTCAACACTTTTTTCAGACAATTTCTCTGTACTTGGTGTAGAGTTATGTCTCGTCACGTGCCAGAAGATTTAGGGCGATTGTCCAGAAATGGTATGAAGAAAACGGACATTGCCAGAACAGTAGGGTACCCTAGTGTACTGCATCCAGAATCCTGAAACGTCATTGGACTACAGGAAACGTTGTTCCAGGAAAGTTGATTGGTAGACGCCGAAAAACTACTGCCCGAGATGACCGTGTTTTGATCAGGTTAATACGTCAAGGTCGAAATAAGTCCTTACGACACGAATTGTACGAACACATTCATTCCAGGATATCCAGAAGATCAGTGAATGGAAGACTAACAAAACAAGGTTATTTTGCAAGAAGGGCTATCTGCAAATCGATATTAATCAGAATTCACCGCCATCACCGTGTTATTTTGGTAAGACAGCATGCCAATTTACAGTTAGGACGCTGGTGACATGTCATCTTTTCAAATGAGTCATGTTTCCGAGTTGGTAAAGCTGATGGTAAGATTTGTATTCGTCGTTTTCCTGGAGAACAAATGAGGTAAGATAGTCTTTCCCACAGGAAACAAGCAAGAGGTGGTGCAGTATATGTTTGGACAGGTATTCATCATGGTAGAAAAAAATTACTCTTCATATGCTCCAGTGAAACGTGAATGGCACCTCCAACAGGCATCACATGGAGATGATATTTCTGCCGTATGCTAGAGCAAGATTTGATAATAGGTTTGTGTTCCAGGATGACAATGCCACTGCCCACAGTGTGCGTATTGTACAGGATTATTTCGATCAGAAGGACGTTACAAGATTGCCATGGCCAGCAAAGTATCCAGATTGTAATCCCATTGAGAATTGTTGGGTAGAACTGAGCCGGAAAATTACTAACCACGACCCTAAACCAGTTACTGTAGCTGAGTTGCAGCGCCTTCTAGTGACAAGTTGGAATGAAATCACGGTGGATCACATCAATAACCATATCGACATATGGCATGTCACCTTGCGGAGGTTATTAGAGTACGAGGAGGATCAACGAAGTACTGAATGTTTAATATATACTGATATGAGGTTACAGACGTTATTTATTATAATTTGATGTTACATTTTGTCATTACATACGTTTCGTAAGGTTTAGTTGTGATAGGTAAAATGCTCAATTACGCATCTTTCTACATGTGTCTGATAAAATGTTTTTCTGTTCTAATAAATCGTTCATGATGTCCATAAAACTTGTCTCATTATATAGTTTGACAGTGCTAAGTGTATTTGTATTCCATCTTAATAATAATGATTTTATTTGTTACAAAATATGCTAACATTTTGGCCAAGACTTATTTATTTTCGCTTATTGAAACACTGTATATTTTTTAACGATCTGTAAATAGTATGCCGAAACGCTACAGTAGAAAGACTGGTAGTAATTTTTTTTGGACACATTGTGCTGGTGAACATTAAGAATAAAAAAAACCCGAAGAGCCTTTATGATGGTAGCTGTGTCACCAAAACCAGTCAGCTGACACAACTAATATAGTGTTTATCTTTTATCGTGCCGCCGATAAAAAAAAACTCGTTTTTGTTTTTTACTCATAATAATTTAAAACAGTCTACTCTTAGATAACTCAGTACATATTTTTCAGTAACTCTAAATTTTGTGTATTAAACGCCAATGTGCATTAGGTCTTTACTTAATTCATCTAGAGCTTTGTAAGGCACGCATTTATGTTTGGAACATTACTTCATTAGCTGTTTTAGAAATTACTTATGTGGTGAAAAGTTATATTTAATTTAGTTAAGGTACTAAATTTGTAACCGAACTGTAAGTGATTAAACATGAAGAATATGAGTCATGGTGATAATATCGGTCGGATTATATATTTGTGTATGTATGTTATACCTGTAATTCACCAGCAAGTATTTTTCAAAATACGTTATATTGACACGAAGCTTTTTCAGTGCTAAGCGTAGTAACTGAAAGAATATGAAAACAGGCTTCGTAAATATGTAGCATATAAATGTATGAAGGTCACATTGGTTGAATAAGTAATGTAACACTTTTGATACACTATTTTACATGCGTTCAAATACTCTTTGTGGTGAACTGTCTTATTTTTTATTTTTGTATGTATGTATGTATGCATCTATTTATAAATTCGTCCAAGATACTAATTTTAATAATTTTCTACTTCAGAGGTCCAAACTATATCCATACATTATAAATGTATCTTAAGCTTTCCCGTAAGAAAATAAGTATTACAAATACAAATGAGTGCAATATCTAGTTCTAAGTGTTTTTGTCTACATTTTTATGGCGCTTATTATTCAGATATAGGCATAAAAAAGTTTTAACTTTCTACAACAGAAATTCCTTTGTTCACAGTATGCGGTTCCTCTTCGAGCAATAAAGAATCCATGAAAACTGATTGACGTTGTTTATATTTCAAGAAGTAGAAAATCAATATTATAGAATTTTGAATCATATTAGGTGGCGCTGGAAATGTATTTTCTTTTCTGTTCTTTTCCAAGGTAAGCAAAGGTAGTGAAAACCTAAATGTGATACTCTCCTATATGTGCAAGTGGAATGAGCCATTTTCAAGTTTACTTTTCTAATATTCCGAGTGTATGACCAGTGGATAACTTCCTACTTCTCGGAACTAAATCTTAGTTTAAAGATGTAGAAGTGTAACAATAGTTACATTTGTAGCCTTTGTAGAAACGTTGTATCACAATCTTATTAGTTATAAGGTACAAAGAATTGTATAAAATCTCAAACAAATTAATATATGTGTTTTAAACCATTTTTTATAACAAAAACAGGTTATTTTTATATGTTATGAATATTTGAAATACAAAATTTCAGTAGTAGGTTAATTCCATAAAGTGTTGCATTACTTGTGTATTAGAGGGTATACAAAGATAAAACTTAATTACTTGTATATTAGAGGGTATACAAAGATAAAACTTAATTACTTGTATATTAGAGGGTATACAAAGATAAGACTTAAGTGTGATGGAAAGTATTAAGTAGTGTTGTAAACTGTAAATTAGATTAAGTAAAAATATACAGTTTTATAATCTTAGGATACTTACTTTGTAAAAATAAACTTTCCGTCTCGATGGAACACTGAGAATACATAGTAATTATAAAGAAAACTATGTATTTACAGTTTATACCTAATACTATAATAATCCTGGAGTGGGGGACAAAATTTCTTCAGAATTACATTAAAAATCATAAGTTTTATTCAGGAAAGTTTGGACAGAGTGCAGTGTTTCAATACCATACCCTATTACATACCTAAATCTATTTCCTTACAAACTAGCATTGCACTTATTTCTTTCTGTTCCAACAGTACATTGTATTTCACAGCGAAGGTTAGTAGGAAGATCAATAAACACTGTCCAAAACAAATTATACTCACAATAATTAATGATATGCTAATTAAAATAATAATTTTAAATATAGGATTTTCTCTATAATCACTCTTTGCAATACTTGTAGTCATAAAAAGTAATTTTAGTTTTAGTGTGCTATTCTTCTCTGATATTTTTAACATTTTTTTTAAATACCCAATCTCTAATCATGTGCACCTGTCAAAGAAATGGAAAGTGAAACTTCTGTTCACATAAAATTACAGATTCCAAACACGTGCAGTTTGAGGGTAACCAGTCTGCAAAACCAAATGCCGCAAAATTGTATATCTAATTTACTTACATTTAACAGTATTAAAGATAATTTTCCTCCGAGGCTTAATACTACAAGTCCCCCCAATGGCACAGCGGTATGTCTACGGACTTACACTGCTAGAAACCGGGTTTCGATACTCCTGGTGGGCAGAGCACGGATAGCCAATTGTGTAACTTTGTGGTTAACTACACACAACAACAATACTACAAAATCGTAAATCTACGTTAGTTGTGTTTGAGAGATAGACTGTTTTTTTTTCTAGTAAAAATATTTTTTCTCAACGTCTAGATTGTACACTTTTATCATGAAACTAGATACTCCACTGTTCTGATACAACTTGAAAATATTGCTTTATAGCCTGTTTTTTTCTTCTTCCGTGACAGTAATCTATTTGATTCAAAGGCCCTTTGTGTTTGCTAAAGTATGTGACAGTAGAACTCCTAAAGGTTTTTGTTTTATTCTTCCTGTTGTCAGATTGTTTCCTTCCATTTTAAGCTTCCTAAGCCACTGAAGCTCATCCTCATTCTAGTTAAACTCAACCTAACTATAAGTCACTTCTTTACTCTGTTTCTCCAATTTCCTTCATATCTTACTTTTGTCATCATTACAATCTTTCTCGTAACCATAGCTACCCATGACCCATGATTTTTCCAAAATATGTATGTAAATATGATACAAAAAGTAAATATTCACCTATTTAAATCTAATAATATAATTTTATCTCGTCTGCTCTTTCACTCGATCCTTCAGCAATGACTCTGCTAACGTGGCTGTTAAGTAAGCGTTTCTAGCGCATCAAGAACGCAAGGGGGATTAATTAGTGTTGTCACTGGATCAAAACGTTTCTAAGCTCTTGCGGTGTTTCTCTTCTCCATAAACGTGTTTCACCTATTTCTTTTCCGTTGATACTAATTTTGAGCATATTTTATTAATTTTGGCTTTCATAATTACTAAATGTTGCTCTGTTAACCTTGAATATCGTCTCCCATCATTGTATTTATTTCTGCACCAGACTGTCTTCTACCATTATTAATTCTGTAATCTGATTCTGGCTTGAAGAATCATAAAACTTCAGAGTGGTCTAAGTTGATAACCTCCATCCAATATCATTCATTAAGTTAATTTTCCTTCTGACGACAAAGGCTAATTATATTACAACAGCTATTAAACAAGTCATTTATATCTCTATTCTAATTAGACTCGGTCTAGAGCTTTGGGAAAATTATTTTAGATCGTAGAACTTGTATTCGTACTTGTCTGAACCAATGATTAAGCGTGTTACTGTTCAAACCCAAAGATGAAATATTAATCAGCAGATTTATTAAATGAGAGGTGTATTGCTTGTCCTCAAATAACGGTTTATATCAAAACGTTTTTAACAAGATTTAAATTACCTTATCAAAATAAATATTTCCTGGTTAATTTTTCCAGTCTTATTAGCAGTTTTACCCGTCTGTCAAATCGTAGTGCTTCCAATGGCACTGCGGTAAGTCTGCGGACTTATATAGCTAAAAACCAGGTTTTTACACCCGTGGTTGGCACAGCACAGCTATCCCATTGTGTATCTTTGTTTGTAGCTGTAAACAAAAATCACATCTTACTGTAAAGATGATCCATTATGTATGTCTATGTGTGTTAGCATTCATTACTTAGCGTTGGCAGGCTCGATTTCCTTCATTTTTTGGACTAGAAACTGTTAAATGATGTACATGGACTACTTTGTTTTAGAATTTTGTCGAAACGGGTGGATAAAAAAGGGTATTTTTATGGCCCTGAACTATAGAACGTTTCCAATTTTTATACTGTTTTGGCTTGCATCCGCCAGAGTTGGCTGGCTTGATTACCGTTAATTTTCTGTATAGTAACTGGAAACTGTCCGACGATGTACATTGGCTACTCGTTTTAAGATTTTTACCCCGAAAAAAGGGGATAAAAACCACTGAACTAGGAAACATATACACCTTTTTTTACAGACTTTTGGCTTTGAGTTTCAAAACACAAGCACTTTATCAGTTAAATGAGTCAATTATTACATTTCATAAAGCATGGTATGAAACTAGCATCTAATGCGGTTATTAGAGATTTAACAACAAAAGAAGGAAAGGAAATATTGTCTAATATTGTCCTTTATACAATATAAGCTGAGGTACCCGTCCTTTGAACTTAAAAAAAGATGTGAGGGAAAACTCACTATGTATATACTTAAAACATGATATACACTGTGCGAAGGTCAGAGGGTGACTTTGTATCAAGAGGTAGCGGAGGCCAATGTAACAGCGGTAGAGATGCTTTCTGTTACTTGTTTTCAACACTCAGCTCTTTCACATGATTAATTAATTGACGGTCATTGGCCGCAGAAGTATCTTACGGACGAACTTGAAACGTCACGGGTCAAAGTAGGAAGTGGGTAAAACTCAAGAAACGGCTCTTTACGTCAGATATAACAAATATTCAATGATATCAATATGTGGGGGAAGAAAGGTTATTAACTCCCATTAACATGCCCCTTGTTCTAAATTATCACCCCACAAAGTTTGTTTGAGATTGGCTAAGTGACCTGCGAGTAGTTAAATAACGGAAAAACAGAGAGATAAACATATTTTTGTGCTTTAAATATAGAAAGATTTGCTTTCTGAACGGGTATTCTCAGCCAGTTAAAGCTAAAGCAGATGATAAGAGCATATTTAAGCTATTACTGTCTATGTTCTAAAAAGGGTAATACCAATCACGTCACTTTAAAGTCAATGTTTATCAAATCGAATCAATACTACCATCAATCAACATTTATTTAAGTTAACATTAACCAATTCCCCCTAAAGCTAATATTTATCAGTTTACTTCTCTATGGTAAAGCGGCTTGTGTCTGTATGTCTGTTTGTTTATCCAAGTTTCCGACTTTGATCCCCATGAAGTTCAAAGAGTTTATGTATACATCTCAGAGAGATTCTAAGATCCGTTACTTTATCCGTTTTCTCACTTTCTACGAATATGACAGCTGTTTCAATCCCCCACCCCTTACTACTTAGTGCGTTAACGCCAGCAAATGATGCACATTGTCCCACAACCATGAAGTTCAAAGAGTTTATGTATACATCTCAGAGAGATTCTAAGATCCGTTACTTTATCCGTTTTCTCACTTTCTACGAATATGACAGCTGTTTCAATCCCTCACCCCTTACTACTTAGTGCGTTAACGCCAGCAAATGATGCACATTGTCCCACAACCATGTGAAACCAACGAAATACTGCCGCACATGGCGCACGTACCATTTCTATTTAAGTCTAGCATGGAAAGTCTTTGTTTCATGTGATTCTGTACCACACGATGGTTTTCTTTGATCCAGTTCTGTATGGGAAGGTCCTCTCAGTGGCTTTGCGGTAAGTCTGAACACATTTAAAAATGCTTTTTATGTAATGGTTTGAATTTCGCGCACAGCCTTCACGAAAGCTATCTGAGCTAGTCGTCCCTAATTTAGCAGAGGAAGACTAGAGAGAAGACAGGTAGTCATCACTGCCAACACTTGGGCTACTCTTTTACCAACGAATAGTGGAATTGACCGTCACGTTATACCGCCCTCACAGCTGAATGGGTGAACATGTTTGGTGGGACGAGAGATTCGAACCAGCGACCCGTAGATTGTGATTCGAGCACTCTAACCACCTGGCTATGCCAGCCTTTTTTGTAATGATTAAACTTTCCCTTCCAAATTCTACTTCACTATAAGAATTATTGAATGGTCGCTTTTACTGTTTTCATGTTATTGGTATTATTACTATTATGTATTCTTTTTTACTCATAATGTATTTTTAACCCAAAGAAATATTTTAATCACCATTATTTCTTAAAGTTTTTACAGTTTTTTTAATGACACTTGTAAATTTATAAGTAGTTTTTTTATTATTCTACCCTTACTTTACCTAAAGCTAGCTTCTACTAAGCAATCTGGCTTAACTATCTTTAATTTTTAATTTGTGTTTAATGCTAGTAGTATGGAATGTTGATAAAGAAAGTAAGATTCTTTCTTTCATATTGAACAACAGTTTTTTAAAGCTGTATTAATATAGATTAGCAGAAACACCCGCCCTCCGGGCAGGTATAACTGCTAGTTCCTGCGGAAGGCTATTGGGCCTGCGGCCTTTTCTAGGATTGTCTGACAGTTGTACAACAATGTACTCATACTTGACATTCAATAATGTTCTCCATCCATGAGAAAAAGGATTTTAGAAATTTTGGTTTAACAATGAACAATCATCATAGCATTACATCACAGAATAGATTTTATTGAAGTATTTCTTTGTAGACGCAGTTATCTATAAAAGTACTTTGCTTTTCTGTCACAACATTAATAAGATTTTCACTAAAGAAATACAAATGATTTTTTAAGTTTGTTTTTCGATTGTTTTATATTTGAAACTTACTCCTTTTTTGTAATGTTTATTGGTTAAATCTCTAGTTTTTGCTAATTGAATTATGAAATTTGATTAAAATATTATATGTAATTCACACATTGCTTTCTTATAAGAAAAGAAGCTGGTTCTTTTGATAATTATTTTGAAATAATTACTTAAAATGTATTCCATGAAATAAAGCCGCAAAGAAACGAATTATGTTTAATAATTCGTTCTCAGGATAAGCTTATTGATTTTTTGTTTCTTTCTTGCTTCAATATTTCATTTTTATAATCAAAACGTTAATTTTACGTCCTTTGCATTTTCTAACCCAGAATATTTGTAGGCGAACAATTATTAGTAACCGTTCGAGTTCGATTATTCTGAGCTTGTGTTCGTTTCGCATGGTAGATTTGTCATGTGTCATTTATCTACCACTTTCGTTACTAACAACATTGTCATGGTAATTTTTCTACAACCACAGTTCTGACACTTAATGTTAAAAATAAGATCAAAATAAAAGCCACATGAACAGTTTTTGTATTCTCAGCTAATAATTTAAAGTATTCTCATTTTATTTTCTAACTTTATATTCAAACTTTTTTCCAGGTATTTGCAAGAGCCTTTTCTTTTTATCCTTGAAATTACAGACTCAGTTTTGACTTTTTTGTTTCATTTTGCCAGTATCGAGATAAATAAATTACAATATATGTATTTCTTTAATCATATTAGTTGCTAAATGGAAATGTTTAAGAAGGCAAAAGAAAACGCTTCCGATATATTTTTATTTACTCTGCCAGAATACAGGGTGTCTGAAAAGTCTTGAACCAAAGGTGATTTGCAGCTTTTCTTAATTTCAGATTACGTGACTGATTATGGCGCTGTCAAACCATGAGAGGCCGAGTTAATCCTGCTGTTAAACCAAAGGTGTTTCGAATGACAAGGACAGTATGTGGAACACATTCTGTAAAATTCGTTGAAGTGCTTATGGTTTCAGACTTTAAAAACGCCCTATAGAATCAAACAGAAAATTACGTACACACATGAGATAAGGAGGTCAACATCTTTAAGCACTATACTTACCCGGCGAGCCTGCGTTTTGAACGCGTTCCACAGACGACGTCGGGCCAGGTTGCTGGGAGGATTTCCAATGGTGGTGAGGCTCGTCTTCTGACGAAAAAATAAATAAAAAGTCCGACAATGAAACACCAAAAATAGGTATATCCATTAGATCATCCCGAAGACTGAATTCTATCACTCATATATTTCATGTGATTCACCATTTTATTCCATGCGCTGAAAGATGAGAGAAAATGTACATATCCAGTAAAATTTAACGTCACTCAAGAAAGACGGTAAATTTAAAATATAGGGTCAAATATTATACGTATTTGTTAGTTGTACAGTATAATATATGAAGTACCGTCACTGATCTCGAAGATAAAATTTGAAATAAAACCCTAACCATCACCCTTTTATGTGCTTAGTGTAATCACATTCTGCCACATAAGAAATAAGTACGAATGCCGAAATATACAAAGAACTGTACATTAGGGTGAAGCGAAAAATTATTTTGTATCATATCAAATTCTCAATGAGCATATTCAGTTTTGTATTTGTTTACTGGTTCCACAAGACGCATAAAGTTTCCGATACCAATGCCTAGAAATTAATGTTTTGATATTCAACCCGTCTTGCATAGTTACTAGTAAAATTGCGTTATTTGTTTGCATTCTTTATACTTAGGAAGTAATGTCCTGACATGCAATCTGTTTTTCATGGGTAGCTAGCTATAAAAATGTACTAGACTAGTTGCCAACCTACCTTGAGGTAGTAGCTACAGCGTGGGTGCAGTGTACTTTGTGAATCAATGCTTAGTTGTGAGTAAGACGTGATTTGAAGAGGGATTGGCACCCTGATGTAGTGCGATACTTCTTCCCCCTTTCCTTTATTACAGCATTTATCATGAGTTTGACAAGGCAAGCTAAAAATAAACATCTGTCGGCGTTTTCACAGGTATAAGAAATTGATGCACAACCTTTGAAAATTAATGTTCTACCGACAATTGCAGATGTAATTTCACACTAAAATTTAAACCATTACTATCAGATGCTGAGCCGAAGGTTGCTGAAATTGCTGAGAAAGTTGCTTCCAAAACCTATAGAAAAAACTTCAATTCCGATCATTTCTTATAATAGCTGGATAAGGAAAATATGAAAGTGTCATGACAAATATACGGCTTTGATGAAATCAGTTAAGAGATCGGGAACACCTACCTACCTTTGATTCTAAATGGCAGATTTTTTCTCAAGGAAAGAATGAAATTGTTTGATATAACTGCTTGCCAATGCATTTCAACATCTTGTAAATGTGATATAATTAGTCAAGTTCCTGAAAGAGAATTTTTGATCGACCAGATACAAAACAAAAATTAGTATTGGAGAAGTAGATGTAATACTAACCAAAAATACTCGAAAGGATATTGGATGATGAAGCAAGCACGAGTATGGCAGAATTGTTTCAGAACTCTTCATAATCTGAATCAGAAACAAATGTCGAGCCTAACAATTTTGAGTCATAGATTACTTCAAACTCATCTGCTGATAGAGTAATTGAACCTTCATCTTCCTCACATCAGATGAGAACTAATATGCTTGTGCTGGCTAAGACTTGTGATCAGTATGGTGTTTCGGGTTGTTCTGCAGCAGCCATCGCTAATACTGTGATGTAAAATCTTGGCATCATACACAAAGAAGATACTTAAAATTTAATAGATAGACACAAGCTGAGACGAGAAAGAAAGAAGCTGAGGACAGAGGCGCAAAATAGTGCCAAATCATTGCAGCGTATTGTACTTTGATGGTCGAAATGATAAGACAAGAATAAGGGTGAAACTGGGAATGAAATATTATCTCAAAACTAATATAGAGGGTAATATCACTCTTATTCAAGGACCACAGTCGATATACCTTTGCCACATCACTCCATTGTATGGAAGCAGTAAGGACATATTTCTAGAAGAAAGTGACGTTAATACAGACACTCTTATGCTGTTGGCTGTGACGGTACAGTGACAAATACAGAGCCTAGGGGTGGTATTGTTAGACTCCTAGAAAACCATTTAGAAGCCCTATACAATAGATGGTATGGATGCTGCACGTTAACTTCCTCTTCGCTATCTCTTTCAACATCTCGATGGCTGCACACGTGGTACAAATGTATTCACGTGAGAAATTGGCAAAGCAATAGCTACACGCGAACAGCGTTGTATTGTAAAATTTGTTCCGATTCCTGTTGATCTACCACAGTGCTTAGAAACTACTGAGTTAATCACTGATCAGCAGTATGTGTGGGACATCTGCAAAACTGTTTCAATTGGGAACTGCTCATCACTTGGAAAGATACCAACCAGGTACTTTAAGCCACTTATGAGGGCTAACAACTGCAAATAGAATCTGCGCTTGTACATCACAACCGAAAATCCTTCAGAATCCCTTCGTGTACTGGCTGTGTTTGGTTGCAAGGTATATGCTCCAAGTTTCGTATTAATATTCATTCTCCATGTACAGATGGTGCATATAGCGTATGGCAGATAATTAGCAGTTTGAGATACCTTTCAGAAGAGTCCAAACAGTTGTTGACCCGGTAATTCAGAAAAACGTTTACTAAACCCTGAATATGTGTTGATTGCTATGCTTGTGGATGACCGTGAACATGTAAGAAAGCTGGCTCTTTGAAGAATAATCGCTTCCAGAGCAGCAAGACGCAGTTGCATAGACATTAGATATTTCAGAATTACCAAAATGAATTTCAATGCATCTGACTACTTTGATTTAATCTTTTAACTTAACATATCTCTGATGATGAACTGTTCATGCAGCTAGTAAAACAGGAAGAGATCACATCAAAATTAGAGTTTGATCAGTTTTCTTGTCATACTCAAGCCATAGAACGAGGAGTATGCCTTGTTACTAAAGCTTCTGATGCAGTTTGTGGACCTGCGAGCCGAGACAGGTTCATTCACACATGTTTAAGATCAAGAAATATTATGCCTCATTTCAACACTAAGTCAGATTACACATGTTAATATATTGTTGCGTATTAGAATTTCAAATAGGCTGAAATTGAGTTAAATGATACTTTAAATTTAGTAGTTAAATTGTACTTTGGATTTAGCAGTTACGTAAAAGCCGATATATAGTCAGTTTATGATATTTTCCAGCAAGATTGATACAAATAATTTTCTTTTTTCATATGTTTAATTTACAAAAAACAAATTACAATAACATTCATTATCAATAGTTCTTTCACACAATGATTTATGTACAAAAATTTTACAAACTTACAAGTAATATAAAGTCTTCTTTCTAGTCTGTAACTTCCTTGATATATTATCGAAGATTCACGATGAGCTAGTTATTTACGAGTTGATGTACGTACAGTTCACTTAACGGGAAGGTAGCTAGCTTTGTCCTTCGTTATTCACCAGCCACACACGCCGAGTTTTCCACCGTTGAAGTTAGGTAATGTTTTTGTAAAAGTACTAATGTCCGATGAAAATCCACTGAAGTTAAATGATTTGTAATGTTCGAACTTTGTAAATGCGCCTGGTCAAATATCCAAAGTTTCCGATTGATAAGCGTTATAACAATCACAGTTATAGCACACTGACTATAGCAAACTAATAATAGATATTCTTTTTTGGCTCGTCGCGTTAATTATACTTATAGGTGTGTGTGGAGGCTTTCTAGAAAATTCAGTTTATGTAACAATACAAAGCTACATTTAAGCGTTTATGTACATACATATATTGTTCATTCTTACTCTCAAGAATCTTCTACAACTTTGGAGAATAGGCGGGAATTTCGCAATACATATTTAATGGTATAGGCTATGTATGTTTCTAAATATAAATTTAATCTAAACAAACGTTGATATTAAAATAAAATATATAATAATAAATCCGTCACAATATTAATCCAAGATCCACAAAGGAAGGGTGGATAGGGTGGAATCCGATGTGCAACCAACTTCCCTTGGTGGGTTCTGGGTATTTTCAGCCACACAATGGTCGAATTTAGCAAAGAGTTGCACACAAATGCCAACTTATGCCTTAAAACGATCTACAGTTTTATCTAATGACATACAAATGCACTTGTGGAACCAGAAGACCAATGCTTACGATGAAAATATTTTAACAGTGAATTACTGTCATCATTACGTAACTTTTGCGCCCCTGGAAAAATGTATTATCGAAAATGTTTGTTTTCATCCCACTTTTCACACCACCCTACTGTACATGGACAGAGACCAAAAAGATGCACTGACTAGTGTAACAAAAATGTAAAAAATAATAAGTACCTGTACGTAGAGATGAAATAGATAACACCCTAGGGAAAAATTAAGAAATTTAAAAAGAGCTGCAATTAGATAGAGGTCAAGCAGATGCTTGTTTGTTTGTAATTAAGCATAAAGCTACACAATGGGCTATCTGTGCTCTGCCCATCACGGGTATCAAGCAGATGCACTAGTGTAGTAAAAATCTAGAAAATTATAAGTAGCTATACGCACGGATGAACAGTATAGGGAAAAATTAAGAAAATTAAAAAGAGCAGTAACTAAAAAACAAATACACTAACTAGCGTTTGACAGATGTAAATTATTTCAAACAACTTTGAGTGCTTTAAATGTCGTTTTTTGTTTTCTTTGAAGCCTGCGTTTTGTTTTAGTGTATCTTGGTTTCAAAATACGTGTAAATTTTCATAACTTCTATGGTTAAAATAACATAGTTTATATTTTTCTCTTCCAGCATCTTTTCCCTATAGTATGAAACTGTACTACTGTCACAAACTTTTCAAGTCATCCCAACTCAAATGCTTAGGGGTGTTACGCTTACGGACTTAGTAATATTTAATATTTTTATTATATGTGTAGGAAAACCCTATACAGTAAGTTATAAAGCTAACAACCTTCAAATAATAATCTGAGTAGTTTTGTTGAGATGTCTCCCCAGTGACTTAGCAGTACGTCTGATGGTTTATAATGCTAAAAACCGGATTTTGATGCCAGTGGTGGGCACAGCGATATCTCACGTGACTTTTTTGCGTAGGCATGCGCAAAAAGTTTGGTCAAAATTAAGCAGTTTTTGTTGAATAACTTTGCAGATGCGACTTATATTTAGACCCAATGTGACACATAATTGTAGGTTGTAAAGATCTATTAGTGCACCTAATTTGAAAAAAAAATCCATGAAAGCTAAGTATGTTTTTTTTTTATCAAGTAAAGTGTTCGTATTTTCGGTACTAAGAAAAAAAAAGTAAACATTTAACTCAAAATTGGAGATTTTATATCTCGTTTATTTCTAAATGGATTGCCTTAAAATTTTGTATGTGAAGTAAGGGTCCAGTAGAGCATATCCACTGAAAATATGTGATAGTTTGGCTTACCATATTTTGAGTAGAAAATTGCTAAACTATCACATACAGTGTGTCCTGCAGGTTGTTTTGGCTGCACAACGCACTATTGGGTGTCTTGATAATGCCTCTAAAGAGGCATACAAATCATAGACTGCAGAAACATCAATTGACTTGTCGATTAAGTACCAGTACAGAGGTTGAGTACGTTATATTAAAACGATATAGGATTCTTAACACGAGGTTATAGTCCATGTTTTCACCTCCGGTCACACTCTGTCTAACGATGGGGTATATTGGCAATAGCACTGCAACATAGTTTCTATTGCGAGAGGCTCTGTCATAAGCCTTTAATATCCAAATACCAATCCTCCCTGTTTCTTTCCATAATCCATCTAGTGTACGAGAACGACAGCTTCCCAGCGTTTGTTTCAACAGTCCAAATGCACAGAAGTCCATAGGTGCTCTGTTTGGCGCCTTGATTGGTATGTCTTCATATGGAATAGCATGCATACTCATTTCATTATCCAGCTGCTTCAGATATGCAACAACTGAATAAATGTGTCACATAAGCAACTTGTGTACTCATCACTTGGGTCGCTTTTCCAGACAGAGATCCTTCTTGATCCAACTGCATAATGTTGCCTGGAGCACATGGACAGCTTTTGCCACAGACCTTTGTGTTCGTGTATTCTCACCTGTCAGACGACGCTACACTTTGCTTATACGGCTTGGTACAACTTGTTGCAGATCTATTTCTTGATGGTCATGGTGTCTCAATTGGATCCTTATTCGTTTCTTTTTCAATTTCATTGAGTACGAGAGATATACGATTTTGAAATCCTAAATATGAACACATCTATATGATCGAGTATGAATATTTTGTGTTATAAATTACTGTTACATACCCTTATCTGAAGCGATCAATGTTTGGTAGCATCACATTACATACAATGTAAAAATGTAGTTCTGATACATGCCATTCTATCACAGCTTTATGTAGACCGTAATTGTCACATGACTTGTAGTTGAGTTATTTAAAATCATCTTAATATAACATACTCAACCCTCTGTAAAACATAATTCGTGGTTAAGTAATTTTGTATTTTTTGACTTGTGGAAAAACAGACTCGTTAGATTTGACCAAATACTATGATTTAAGCCTTATACTAACACGAATGTAAGCTATAAAAATATGTTATCTAATAAACCTGACATAAAATAGTAAACATCGAAAGATGAAAAAGAAATAGAACCAATAGGTTTAATATTCATGATCTTTCTAACATATACTACAAATACTGTATCTAATTCCTGCCAATCAAGATAACTCATGAACACAGGGGCGGATTGGCTTTAAAGAACAAGCCCAGGAAATATCACATGCTGCATACTGGCTAAACAATTGAAATTTAAATTCAATTTTTAATAATGCACCGGTCCACCATACAGTTGTGTTCCAGTGGGTCTATTCACCCCTTCTTGATCTGTAAACAAACTGTGATCAATAATATGTCGAGGCATATGATTTTTATTTTCATTACATATTTAAGCCTAGCCAGAGTATATTTGTATTGAATAAAATATTCCTGAACATACTTGAATGGATCAACGAAATATGTTAACATTCTGAAAGCGGGATCTGATGAATAATTTCGTATCTTCATTGCTATATTCCACTAGCAAATCACTGTATTTATTTGTCGAAGATCGTATGACATTTTTTTTTAAATAATTGATACAAATGCTCTGTTATACCTATAACATATGAGCAATGTTGTAAAAGAAATAGACACTTAGGTTTGGAACGTTTCAAGTATGCACTCATTTCAAATTAATATTGATTCAGTTTTTAGTAGACTTTTGTTACGTTTATGTATATGCCCCCCAGTGGCACAGCGGTATGTCTGCGCTAGAATCCGGGTTTCGATACCCGTGGTGAGCAGAGTACAGATAGCCCATTGTGTAGCTTTGTGCTTAATTACAAACAAACAAACGTTTTTGTATTGTTATATCAATATTACTCACCATTATGGAAGTTTTGAGCAGAGGTTGCGTAATTTGAAGTTTCTTCAAACATATCCCACGAGTTATTGAAACTACTGGTAATATCCTCCATTAGGTGATTAGGACTCTCGACCTGCTCAGGAATTTCTACAGAACAGAAGAAATTAGAAAACATTCAATTAAAATCTAAAATTGTAGAAACTAAATGTAAACTGAACTGAACTTTGAGTACTGGGTAAAAAGTTCACTGACTCATTTTTGTTTGTATACAAAGGGAAAGTAAAATATTAAGCTAATGGATTAAAACAGGTTCTCACTCTGTATATATATATATAAAGCACAAAAACCTGTGTTTCTGTATGTTTGTCCGTTATCTAACTACTCCTAGGTCGCTACGCCAATCTCAACCAAACTTTGTGGGATGATAGTTTATAATATGGAACATGTTAATGGGGGTTCACGATCCCCATTATTGCTGTTACTGAGTATTTATTATCTTTGACGTAAGTTAACGTTAATTACATTCATAGATGGTACCACGTCCTTACATCATAAAGAAAAAAACCGTTTTGGGGAGGGCACCCAAACGTCTTATATATCTCAGAGAGTGCACTAGCACTCTCTATGGAGGAATGGAATGAAAAAAATGGCCGTCACTATTGCAATACTATATAAAATCAGCTGACGCTTTTACTCCAACAGCCACCATAAAGCTGATATAAAGAGCCGTTTCTTGAATTATACCGACTTCCTACTTTGACCCGTGACCTTTCAACTTCGGTCCGCAAGACACTTCTGCAGCCAATGACCACCAATTAATTAATTACGTGAAACACCGTAGAAGGACATTAAGAGCTGGGTGTTGAAAGCGGGTAACAAGCCGCCACTACTTGAGCCGCTACCTCTTAATACAGTCATCCTGACCATTGCAGAGTGTATACAATGTTTTATATATATATATAAATATTGAGTTCTAAAATATTATACAAAACATTTGGTGAGGTAATAACGAATACTGTAATGATATGTTATGTTATAAATAAATTGTTTGAAAGTTATTATTTTTGTTTTATTTTTGGTAGCATCCACCCCACATTTTTTTTTAAGTTCATAACCCGGACAAAGGACGGGAACCTCAGCTTATACACACACACACACACACATATATATATATATATAGTAATCACAATTCACACAACATTCAGCCTTGATAATGGATGAAGAATGCATTCGAAACGCGTCGGCCAACTCATCACTAGCTACCCGTTGTTCTAACAACGTTAAGACGGCTTATCGACTTCTTGAGAAGAATTCTAAGAAGAAAGTAAACCTAC